TATTATATGAAACAATTTCACAACCATATATGAAACAACTTCATCAAAAAAAGTATTATATGAAACAATTTCACAAGATTAAACAATTTCATGAAAAAAATTTCATAAGATTAAATAATKAAATCGACAGATGAAGGTGGTTTACACGGTTTACACAACTGAGGGCGGTTTTCATATGATCACTCCTATATATATATATATATATATATATATATGAAGTGAAATTGATCCGGTAAATCACATTAAAAATAGGGTTTTAAGACAAAATAAATCTTATTTAAAAACTGCAGATAAACATAAGCAAATACATGATAAAATTCAAAATTACAAGTAAATTGTGCGAAAATATAACTCATTAAAGCTGCATTTTTGAATTTGTGTATAAATTGCAGATAAACATAATCAAATACATGATAAATATTTCATTTTAAATATAAAAAATCTAAATACGATTACAATAATCATTAAGTTCTAACAAAATATTTAATTATTATCTTTATAAAAAACTATATTATCAAACCTAAATTAAATTATAATAAAAAAACTGAATTAAATAAATAACATAAAAACGACAACTTTTAAATACTAAATTTGATACTAATATCAATATATCTTATTCAAATTTACATTTACATTTACATTTTATTCAAAAATAACAATATTATCGTTTTCTTAAAACCACAAAGATTGTGTTATATCAACAAAGATAAAGAATTAAACTTAACATTAAAATTAAAATATATCTCGTTGCATCTTCTAATAAACAATAAAAATTGAAACCCAAACTTATTTTATAGCCATATAAAAATTTAGCACAAAACCTATTAATTTCAAGGTCAAAATATTCAAATGTTTTAGCTGTTGAATTTTTCAGTTTTTATTATTAAAAAAATGTATTTGAAAAATAAAACCAGCATTAAAATAATTAAATGAATAAAATAAAGATGAGGACGAATAGGTTGAGTTGAATCATCGTCAGCTGCACGTGTCGACCAATCACCCTTCTCATCCCATTCTTAATAATAATTATATTTAAAAAAAATACTTAATTTAACTTGATATTTAAATTAATAAAAAATATTTAATTATTAAACAGTAACTATTAATAGAAATTATTTAGAAATAACTAAATAGATGTAAATTATTTGGAAAGCTAATTAATTAGGATATAATAAAACATAATCATTTCCATATTTTTTACAATAAAGGGATTGTTTAGCAAACAAGAAGTGCTTATCGGTAAAATTCAATATTATCGCTTACTTACCGGGTAATATTCTAGTCAACAAAAATTGTATTACCCGGTAAGCGCTAACCATGGTAAGAGTCATCGTCCTTACTTACCGGGTAAGACTATCATTGTCTCGCTCTTACCGGATAAGATTCTTGGTTCTTGCCTTATTCATTCGATAAAATAATATGACTTGATAAACGCTTACCCGAATAAATGTTTAGTACTTTCCTATATTAAATATGCCATAAAACTTCATAAATAATTTTGGAAACTGGCCTCTCTCTCTCTCTCTCTCTCTCTCTCTCTCTCATCACATGACTATCCATTCTTTTGTTTGGATAACATTGCCACATCCCCCTACCCCTACC